GAAAGAGAGAGATCATTTAAAAGAGGACACCCCAGGGAGGTATGACTGCTCCCTGGAGCTAGACACGGTCCCAACATCCTCCCCCAAGCCCTCCTTCACAACCTGTCTCCAGCCTCCACTCTGTCCAGCCACAGCCTCTCTGGCCAGACAGCTGCCCTGGTCAGACAGAGGCTTGGTGTAAGTAACGTCAAGAAGACACACACAGCAAGAACACCAAGGAGCCTGGGCAGGGTTTGCAGGAGCGGTTTTAATGGCCAAGAACCCAATCAGAAAACATAGATGCTCGTTATGAGTGGGAAGGAGAAGAGAGGTAGCCTTGGGCCAAGCGTCCTAGGGTACGCTGGGCTGGGTGGAAGGGTAGGGGGCAGAGCCTCACTGCTTGGAGCGTCCAATATCGTGGCAGATACCAAAGTCGGTGTTGGTGATGGTGCCCACAATGGTCCTGTCCACCTCACAGGTCAGACCCCGCTCACAGGGACACTTGTAGTAAACCCCAAGGAGGTGCTGCAGAGACACAGAGCCGATGGAGTCACAGGCTGTAAGGGGCTGTTGTGGGCATTGCTCGCCCTGCCCAGCCCTGAGAACCAGCAGGCGAATCTGTTTTCAGACGGCGTTTCTCTTCATCGTCTCCCCAGGGGGTGCTTTGGGTCGGAGAGAACCTGGTCTGGTCTCTATTCTGCTGCTCGCTTGCTGTTACTACCTTGTTCCCGCTGATGAGCCTACTTTCCCATCCATGAAATGGGGATAATAAATCCCTGCTCCCAGCCATCTCACTGGCCAGTGGTGAGGGTCAGGAGAGATGATGGGCTGTGAAGGTGCTTTGAGAACAGTCGAGCATCCTCATGCCCCCAATATTCTACGCCAGGCTCACCCTCTTCCCTGCCCGAGACCCCCAAACCCAGCAGCCTCTTCATCCTCCCTCACCCGCCCTCAGGTACGTACCTTGGGCGAACACTCGCTGTTCTCGCTGGCCTTGGGCATGCAGCGGGCCAGGCTCAGTACGGAATCATGGTGGCAGCACCTGCTTTTGCACTGGGCACTGTTCAGGCAGAGCTCGCCCTCCTCCTGCGAGAACAGCAGTTAGCCCAGGACACTGCCCACCCCCATCCCCTTTTCCTCACAAGCCCCCCACCTTGCTACCCACTGCCTATGACAGTGCCCTGGGGGTGTTCATGAAGAAATCCAGCCATTCCCAGCTCCTGTGCAGAGCAGGCAGCTGGGTGCCAGGGAGACTGCCTTGGAGACCAGGAAATGCAACCGTTGTCCTGCCACCTGGCTGGGGGAGTGCCAGACAAGTCACTGGCTCAGGGTTCCCAGCTGGATTGTGCCTGTGTGGCCCTGACACCAGGTCTCCGGGGCTCTCTGGGCCCTACACTGCTTTGAGGGGCCTGTGAAAATCGAGTTCCTTCTTCCTGGAAAGGTTCCTTCTCACAGGCTTCTACGTACCAGGGGACTTCCAAACTTGGCTGAAAGGATCATCGCCCTTCCCATGAACTACTTGAAGCCCCCTTGTAGGATTTCAGGGGGATCTTGTGTCCTACATCAAGAGCCTTTGAACTACTTGAACTAGAACGGGCTTCTCCAGTTCTGATGTGGAATGGAGAGACCGTGTGGGACAGAGTGGGGAGCAGGATCTGGGGCCCCGCTGCCTCAGCCCGGAGCCCCCTACTATTCAGCAGGGTTGGTTAAAAAAAAACAGTACTGGCCTTGCAGGGTTACGATGGAGACTTGACTATTCTCAAGAATGGTGACCACCACACAGTAGGTGCTGTGTGGACCTTTGACCAGTAGTTCTGTCTGATCCCCTCAGGAGAGGGGTTATGAAAACCAGTTCTTCCTGCATTTCCACCCGGGCCTGGATCAGAAGCTTGAGTCATGGGGGGAGGGGAGGCACCTAAAAAACTCCTGGACCTGCTGAGCCAGGGTTTGGGGGAGAGAAACCAGGACTCTGGCTTTTAATAAAGCCCTTCATCGCCAGGCTGAGCCACTGCTCTGAGAGGCTCTGAGATCAGGGCTCTTAAGGAGCCAGTCAGTCTTTGCTGGGGGACCCTGAGGAAGAGGTGGTGGGGCAGGGCACCGGGCACATGGAAAAGACACAGCACCTCCGGGCCCAGACTCGCCCCAAGTAGGGGCATCAGGGGGCAAAGGTGCCTAGGGCTTTAAAGACTGCGATGCCTCCTCTCCTGCAGACCCTCTTACCAGGTTGATAAAGATCCCCCGGGGGTCGGGCGGCGCCGCACAGGCCACAGCCACAAGGGCGACAAGCAGAATGGCAAGGATCTTCTCCATGGCACAGGGAGTGTGGGGAGTAACCGGCCGGCAGGTGACAGAGCAGAGCCCGGCGGGGTGGTGGGGCTATAAAAGAGGCTCTGTCCACATGTGACTCACCGTCCGCGTCCTGTGGGGGCTACCGTGAGCAGAGGCACAGCTGTGGCCAATCTGCTGGGGCAGGAGAGGTGTGTCTCCTGATTAGGCAGGTGGGCGAGCATCCAATAACCTCTCACACGTGTGAGCTTGGGAGGGGGTGCCGAGATAGCATCGTGGTTAAGAATGTGAACGCTGCACATGGACCCAGCCTCTGGAGAAACCCCTCTGACCACCGATCAGAGACATAAATAGTCTTTGCTTTCATACAGAATGCCCCGAAAGTAGAATCTTGCAGATGCAGTTAGGTTAATATTTAATACGTTATCATTTGATCCCCCCTTTTTAAAAAAAAATCATTTTATTGGGGGCTCGTACAAATCTTATCACAATCCATACATTCATACATTGTGTCAAGGACATTTGTACATTTGCTGCCATCATCATTCTCAAAACATTTGTTTTCTACTTGAGCTATTTGATCCCCTTTTGACGCATTTTAAATTTGCTCTAGTTTTTCATATTTTCTGCTATCTTTTTTTTAGCTTTTCTTTTTTTTCCTATTTCATTTGTTTTATTTATTTATTTTTAATCATTTTATTAGGGGCTCATACAATTCTTATCACAATCCCTACATACATCAATTGTGTAAAGCACATTTGTACATTCATTGCCCTCATCATTCTCAAAACATTTGCTCTCGACCTAAGTTCCTGGCATCAGGTCCTTATTTTTACCCTTCCCTCCCCGCTTCCCCCTCCCTCATGAACACTTGATAATTTATAAATTATTATTTTGTCATATCTTGCCCTGTTTTACTGCACCATCGTTAGTTTTTGTTGTTGTTTTTTTATGTTGTCATTGTTTTCTTTTTCAAATGTTTTTCTATATATGAAATCCAGAATAGGCAAATCTATAGAGACAGTCATTGGATTAATTAATGGTTCTTGGCAGGAGAGGTTGGAGGGGAATGGGGAGCTAATAATGATGAGTACAATAAAGAAGAAAGCGTTCTAAAATTGATAGTGGTGATGATTGTACAACTCTTCTTAATATGACTGAATGATTGAATTATGTAGGTTGTGAGTTATATGCCAATAAAACTGTTAAGAAAACGGCTTGATTAACTGTTTTTAGAGAAGAGTATAAAGTGAAATGAAAACGGAGAGCGATTCTAGGAAGATAAGGGAAGGAAAGGGAAGAAAGGGGGAACCGATCACAATGATCGACATATGGCCCCTCCCAGGGGAACGGACAACAGAAAAGTGGGTGAAGACAGAGGTCAGTGTAAGACATGAAAAAAATATTATAAATTATTAAGGGTTCATGGGGGAAGGAGAGTGAGGAAGGGAGGGAAAAAATGAGGAACTGATACCAAGGGCTCAAGTAGGAAGAAAATGTATTGAAAATGATGGTGCTGACATATGTACAGATGTGTTTGGCATAATGGATGTATGTATGGATTGTGATAAGAGCTGTGGGAGCCCCCAATAAAATGATTTTTAAAAATTAAATGAAACTGAAAACTTAACAGAATTAATAAGAAAATACATAGCATGTTCTTTGAAACAAGAACAAAAAAGGTGAATTCTGAAATATATTTTTAAGCCATTTCTTTTTGTTGTTGAGAGTATACAGAGCAGAATGTATATCAATGGCATAACTTCTACATGTACAAGGGGTTTCAAAAGTTCATAAGAGAAAAATGAAATGCAAAGATAATGGAAGCTTCCTCATATCAGTCCATGACCTTGGCTATATTCTGCGAGTGGTACAACCATTCTTAGCCTCCTTTTCCAAGTTGTTCCTCCACCATGAACATCAATTCACTGCCCTTTAAGGTTCCTGGGACATAGAGGTTATGAGTTGGGCTTCTAACTTCAAGGTCAGTAGTTCAAAACTCCCAGAGCTTTCTACGCCTGTCAAGAGTTACAGACTTGGAAGCTCACAGCGGGCATTCTACCCGTCCTCTATGCTGCCATGAGTGGGCATCGACTCGATGGCAGTGAGTTTGGCTGCTTGTTTAAGGTTCTATCCACTCTTCCAGTCTGCCGATGTCAACTTTATTCCATATCGGTAGATCTGACATAGAAGACCGTGCTGAAGGCAGACATGCTTTACTACATAAGCGAATCTATTATTTCGTTTTAAGAAGACTTCAGGGGATTTTTCTTTTCTTTTTCAGTTAAGGCTTGTAGATGATTTCAAACCTTTAGTTTAAGGGTTGTAGATGATTTCATGCAGCCTCCGTGGTTCCAGGAAGTATGAATTCCATGAGAATTTGAAATGCTGGTTTGCATTTCCCTCTTTTGATCGTGATTCTTTTATAAAATCGTGATTAAATGCTCAGTCATGGTTGCCGGGCACTATGCAGTTCTTCTGATCTCACGGCAAAGGAGGCAGTTGTTCATGGAGGCAACTAACCTCATTATCCATACCCTCCTCCTATGCCTGACTCTCCCTCTGTGGCTCTGACTCTGGTACACGTTGAGCTGTATACGTTATTAGCTGGCTGCTTCGTAGCCTCATCTGTCAACAGGGGGATAACATCAAGAATCATGAGGATTAAGTGCGAGGGAAATGTTTATGTACACACATAACATGGAATCTGTGAAAACCAGAACTTGTGTAAGACCAGAACCTGTCAGAAAAGGAAAACTCAAACAGTTCCCACTAAAATGAGTGATAGAAGAGCAATGAGACTGCTGCACTCTGTCAACTGCAGAACACTTGGGAGACCTCGCGAAATAAGGCTGTCCGACCAGTGCCCGCTCTCACAAGGTTTGCTCTCTATATGGATACAGTGGTCACATTTGTGCCTTCCGTTGGGAGACCTAGGTTGATTCCCAGCCAGTGCATCCCACCAGCTGTCTGTCCGTGGAGGCTTGTGTGTTGCTATGATGCCGAGGTCTCAGTGGAGCTTCCAGACTAAAATGGACTGAGAAGGAAGCCTGGCTCTACAGTTCTGAAACCCAGCCAATGACAAATCTCTGCATCCCAACGAGTTGATCTTCGACCGATCAGGAGGATGACCCTGGGGAACTGACTTGACAGCAGCTAACACAACTTTGTGTGTGTGTGTGTATATGCGTGCACACACATATACACATATACACATATACACATATACAGCAGCTAGCAACATGCTTGTGTATATACCTATGCCAATATCTATGCACACATAGACAGCAGCCAACAACTATGTGTGTGTGTGTGTATATCCAAACATATACATGTATATAATCATATATCAATGTATGTGTTAGCTATTATTATTCTTGTGTTGTCCCTCTTGGCTGCTCAGAGCTCCTGGGCAAGCCCATGTCTAAAGTGAGACAACAGAGGCACCAAGGGAACAAACTTTAAGGAGTGAGCACTTGCTTAATTTTCTCCCTAGCACTTCTGGATCCTGCCTTTGAAGCTACCCAAACCCAAGCATCTGGCATTGTCAGGCCCCAGGAAAAGGGTTTTCAACCTCTCTCGCAGGCCCTCTTGGAGGATTCTAGGGGCGGGCCACGTCCTGTCCCCAGGGTTGATCAACTGCAACTCAGAGCCTGGGAGGTCTGTCTCCATACTAGGTGCACTTTCTCAGGTCCCTACACTAGGAGTCTGCTCAGGAGTGGTTACAAGGCCCATAGCAGGTCTTCTTCCAACGACTCCCTTCCCTTTCCTTCCCTCCACACTTCCCGTCTGCAAATCCAGCATGAAAGACTCGTCACGTTAGTTGAGGCTTCCACTCTCTGTGCACCTCAAGGTCCCCTGTGGATGTGAGCAGCCCTTAGTCTTGGCTGACAATGAGGAGAGCTGGGAAGGGCACAGCTGCCCGAGTTTGTTCAGCGTGGGAACAGAGCAGCAGCCTCTGAAAGCTGGGCTACTGCAGCCAGAGAAGCCCACCTCCGTCCTTGTTCAGCCCCACCCAACCTGTCCCGGGACAAGGAGGACAATCCCACTGCTGAGGCCTGCATGGGGTTGCTTCAAAGCTCAGCACTCCCTCTTACTAGCTACATGACTGTGGGCGAGTTGCTTAAATTTCCTACGTTCCAGGAGCTTCGGTTCCCTTATATAGCCAAGGAGGATAAGTCCCTGCCGTATCAACCAACCAAGCTGTTGGTGTGGAGTTGATTCCGGCTAATGGTGACCTCACGTGTGTCCGAGCAGAACTGTACTCCTCATGCCTGGGGACTTCTTGTCTTTTTCAGTTGATTGATTGATTGCGTGTGTGTGTGTGTGTGTGTGTGTGTGTGTGTGTGAAAAATAAAAACACTGAATAAAAATATAAACATGAGCTCATTCTGCTCTCCTTTTGCTCCTACACCCCACACCTTTTAAAATTAAAAATTTTTTAATTTTATAATGAACTTTCTATTGTGAATGAGATGTGTGTGTGTGTGTGTGTTACATCTCAGACCATCAACTCTGCGTTCAACAATTCAAACCACTCATCAGCCCCACCCCCTATATACCATACCATCACCACCCTCTGATTGCTCGGCTTATTTTTTTTTTAATAAATCATATTATTGGGGGCTCGTACAACTCTTATCACAATCCATACATCCATCCATTGTATCAAGCACATTTGTACATTTGTTGCCATCATCATTCTCAAAACATTTTCTTTCTACTTGAGCCCTTGGTATCAGCTCCACATTTTCCCCCCTCCCTCTCCTACCCTCCCTCACAAACCCTTGATAATTTATAAATTATTATTTTGTCATGTCTTACACTGTCCGATGTCTCCATTTACCCACGTTTTTGTTGTCTATCCCCCATGGAGGGGGTTATATGTAGATCCTTGTGATCAGTGTCCCCTTTCTCCCCAACCTTCCCCTTACCCTCCTGGTATCGTTACTCTCAATATTGGTCCTGAGGGGTTTATCTGTCCTGGATTCCCTGTGTTTCCATCTCCTATCTGTATGTGTGTA